CCAGAGACCAACGCCAGTGTCGACGCGACGCGAACCTGCCGTACCCGAGGTCGCGCTTGTCTGGGGTCGCTCTGGCGTCCAGGCGAGGGTGGGGGGGCTTTGGACGGGAGGCGTGGCGGCGCACCTCCTCGTCCTCTTCGCCCCTGGCCCTCGGATGCCCCCCTCGCCGCCACGGGGGCTGGGCACCACAAGGGCCGGGGGCCGGCCCCGGGGGCTGGGTGTTGGACGGACTGAGCTGCTGGTCGGGCGCAGGGCGAGGGAAGAGCGCTGCTACGCGCCACCGGGAGGGGGAGGAGGAGGAGGAGGAGGAGGAGGAGGAGGAGGAGGAGGAGGAGGAGGAGGAGGGAGGAGGAGGAGGAGGAGGAGGAGGAGGAGGAGGAGGAGAGGAGGAGGAGGAGGAGGAGGAGGAGGAGGAGGAGGAGGAGGAGGAGGAGGAGGAGGAGGAGGAGGAGGAGGAGGAGGAGGAGGAGGAGGAGGAGGAGGAGGAGGAGGAGGAGGAGGAGGAGGAGGAGGAGGAGGAGGAGGAGGGGAGGAGGAGGAGGAGGAGGAGGAGGAGGGGAGGAGAGGAGGAGGAGAGGGGAGGAGGAGGAGGAGCGGAGGAGGAGGAGGAGGAGGAGGAGGAGGGAGGAGGAGGAGGAGCGGCAGTGAGGGCGAGTTCGGAAATGTTGGGAAGTTTTCGGAGGGGGTTCGAAGCCCAGGGTGGTTTCTATCAGTTGCGCCTCGTCGAGGGCGTTCCGGGGGTGCCGGAATCGCCCTGAAGGGCCACGGGAGAGCAGAGTTGTGGTCCGAAAACGTCAGGGGGGATGTGTTCAGGGGAGGGACACGTCGGCCCCGAATCGCCCATTGATCGCCGATAGGGGGCCCGATTCCCCCACCCTGCCCAGGCGCGTGCGGCTTTGCTATCGGTGGCCTGTCGCCGATCTGTCGGCGACGTGTCGCCGATTCAAGGTCGATGCTTCCCCCCCTGGGCTGGTCCCCCCTGACGCTTCCGCTCCAGATTCCGACCGGGCGCCACACAGTACTGCAGAATGTTGCCAGGCGACAGAGAGGCAGCGCATGCTCACTCACAAACATGCGCGCTTGGCCATGTTTGGAAGCGGCACAGCCTGCAGAACGAAGGCTAACATTCCGTTACAGTCGAGGCGGATTGGTAGGTCGACCTTGCCAAATCAAGGGTGGTCTTGCATCCTGTGTTTGGCGGCCCATGCCATCTACATTCCTATGGCAATGTGGCCCTCGGAAGGGTCTTGTGTCCTCCCGCGCGTCCTTTCCAGTCAACCTTTCTGTGCCTCCTCATCCCCTCTCTCGCGCCCCCCCTCCCTGCCCCGCCAAGAGGCCGTCTGGGGCATCCAGGAGCCCCTCGGCTCTTGTCGGGAGCCGTGGGGGCGCTCCCGAGGCCTCCCGCTCCCCCGAGGCCCAACGTGGCGGAAACGTTGCACCGTGAAAGATCACGGTCGCAGTCCGAGGACCCCACCCTTCTGCGCACTGTATTGCGCCGGATCGAGCCGTGAGGTCCCCGGGGCCCCACACCGGGCGGAAGCGCCCGGCGCGAAGACATTGCAACGCCCAGCTCTCAGGGTCGCCCCTCCCAGCCCGCCTCCCCGCTCCTCCCGATCGGCGGCGAGCCCAGGGGGGAAGTGAGAGGGGGGGCAGACCATCTCCAAAGGCGGTGGGGCTTCTCAGGAGCCCTCTGGCCTTCTGAGGAGCCTCCTCTGGTTTCGGAGAGGAGGCTCACAGAAGTTGCCGTGAGGCCAGAGGCCCTCCGAGCCTCTGCGAGGGCCCGCCCCCTCTCGACCTCCCCTCCCGGCTCGCCGCCGACCCATCCCTCGGCGAGGCGGGCGCCGCTGCGGCGCCGGGCGCGGGGGGGAGGGGCTACGTGGCGATCTTCGAGGCGTTGGCGCCCCTCTTGGCCTGCGAGGCCGCGGGGGGGAGGGCCAGGCAGGCAGGGGCGGGCCACTGGGGTGCAGCTCCCGAGAGGTGAAGTTCTGAATCGACGCCGGTATCTCCCTGGTCGGAAAATTTGCCTGGTCTGATCTGATCTGGCTTGATCTCACTCGATGCGCCTGCTGAGTGCCGCGTAATCATGCTGAACCCTGGGCTAGATCTGGCTTACCCGGGCAGGTTTCAAGCTCCAGCCCTTGGCAAGCTCGCGGCTGCATGTAGATGCGCACCGACACACGGAACAGGAGTTGAAGAAGCAGCAACAACGAGGACCGAGCAGAGACGTACTACTGACAAAGGTGCAGATTAAATAATTCAACAATTGGATAGTGAGATCGGTAGATTCTTACACCGATCGAGTTTGTTCGACGGATGGAAGCGATTGTCCCCATGGTTGTCCCGTCGTTGCTTCCACCGCCCAACCTCCTCAAAGGCTTGTGGCCAGTCTTGCATGTATGTTAGCCTGGTGAAGTGGATCGCCGCCCCCACCATCATAGATAGCATGGGAGCGCGTGAGCTTTTGCCGGCGGCGAGGCAGAGGCAGTCAGCACCAGCGCGGGGCCAATCGGGACAACCGAAAGGCGAATTGTCCAGCGTGCAAGAGGAAGGAACGAAGACGAGGGCGGCCGCGCGAGGGGAGGAGGGGGAGGGGGCGCGTGAACATGAATGATGTCTGCAATCGGCGCGTGCCGCCGCCAGTCTGCTCTCTCGCTTCGGGCCCCCTTGCAGTGTCTCTCTCTCGGCGCGGGCGCGGTGATAACTGCACCTCGCCTCACGGCTAGACCACCGTGCGCACTGCCTGGGATAATCTGGCTCCACGGCCCCCTAATCAGATTTGACGATAGCTTCTAACTCGAAGAAGAAAAATCGGCATAACCATATATGTGTTGGTGCTCCGCGCGGAGCGCCAAAAGTTTATCTGTATGTCGTGCGTTCTTCTTCTATTAATCATTATGGCGAAGACCTCCCAGGAGTGACCTCCCAGCCTTCATCGCCACCGCCTCCGCCTCCTCGGCGCCTTCCACCACCTGCTTAAATGGGATTTCTCTCAAACACCAGGCGCGGTTCAGCAGCGATGCAGACAAGACGCTGAAGTGAGGACCATCTCGGGCTCTGGAGGGGCACTGGTATCCAGGCCGCTCCTTAGGTCTAGGTCGGGCCTGTCCCTCCACAGGAGGAATATTCAAAAATAGTCTAAACAAAAATAGTCGGGGGACGTTTTTGTAAAGTATCTTTTGAGCATTTTGGAGCATGTTTTGACTATTTTGTTGTCGTTCAAAAATCACCCTGTAGGAGGACAGTCCCGACGTAGGTCCAGGTCGGGGAACCTATTTGAAGCCGAGGCTCGCCGTGGCCAGAAACGGTCTTCGTTCCTTGCTCAGCGTACCTTCTGGTAGCACGATGACTGTCGGACTTTTCTCAAACGCTAGATGCAGTTCAGAAGCGCCGTCGTCCTTGACGAGCTCCGGCTGGGCCCCAAAGGTAGGCTGCGGCACGGGAGGTTGAGACCCCGGCAAGAAAGAGCCATGATTCCGCAGTTGCACGAAGGCCAAGGAAGCGATCTTCGCACACTCCTGCCGAAGACGTTTTTGCCACGGGCTGCAAAGTTGCTAAGGACATGTCTTTCTTGAAAACTGCAAATTAAGCTTGCTACTGTCCTCTTTTATGACAAGGGGTGCTCTGACACGCGATCTATGCTGTACAGTCGGACTTGGGCTGCTCATTCTGTTCTGCGTCACGGCTCGTTAAAACTGTTGGTAGACTAGCCATCTAGAGCACACTCTGCTCGGAAATCTGATCCTGGCATCCGCCATAGCATAGCCGACTCCCTCCGAGTCCTCTTCCCCTCTCCTCTCCCCATGTACATTATTATTCTCTCCATCTTCATCCCCTTTCCCTCCTGCTCCTGCTTCTTGTATTCCCCATTGTCTTCCTAGTTGCAGTCGTCCTCATACATCCCTTTTCTTTACCAGTAGCTCTTCCCTCTCGCACGCCCATACGTGTTGGTAGGGCGGACCGGACGTTTCGGTTGAGACTTCTTCACCATTTCCGACCCCGAAGTTTTCAGTGTGCGTCAGCTTCAAGGATAGAGGGGGGCCGTTTTCAAAATGTGGTTCTCGCGTGAGTTCCGCGCACATTCGTTTTAACAGTTTGCAGCCGCTTCACTGATGGAAGGCGGGTCGTTCTCAAAATATAGTTATCGCTTTAGCGCCAAGCAAATTCGTAAAATGCGCAACAGCTTCACGGATGGAGGGCGGCTCCTTTTCAAAATGTGATTCTCGCTTGAGCGCCGCGCAAATGTGTTTCAAAAGGTTGCAAAAGCTTCACAGATGGAGGGCAGTTCTTTTTTAATGTGGTTCTCGTTTTAGCGACGCACACATTCGTTTCAATAGTTTACAGCCGTTTCAAGGAGTATTATGGTTGACGTCCCAAAGATGGTGTTCTGGCACGGTTTAGGACTGTCACGGGGCAACAGTCACGTTGATTCGCAGTGTCGAAGTGTGGGGAAAAGTGTTCTGGGACGAATTAGGCTTGCCAGGACGCAACAGTCACCTTGTTTCACGGCGCTGAAGTCCCAGGAATTGTTGTTGTTTCGCACGGTTGAGGCTTCTCAGACGGATGTGAAAGGGGAATTAGGAGGGAGGGTATATTGCGACATCGTTGATGCGTTTTGGGTTTACACGGATCTTCTTCCTCACCCTCATCGTCCTCATCTCCACGATCATCCCCATCCTCCCACTCCTCCAGGCGCTGTCGGCGGCCATTGGGGCTCAAGCGCCGTCGGAGCAGGCGCGATTTTTGTTCCCTTTCCTTCCTCCCTTGGCTCAGGGGCAGCGGTAGGGGGGGATAGGCTCTGGGGGGGACGCACCGACCCCCAATCGCCCACTGATCGCCGATAGGGGCCCGATCGCGCACCCCGCCAAGGACCGAGATTCCGCCATCGAGGGCCGATCGCCGATCTATCCATGATGTCTCGCCGATTACAGGTCGATGCTTCCTGCCCTGAGGCGCCCCCCCCCCTAACGTTGCCCCTCGCCTTCGGCCTCCCCCCCCCTGGCATCAGGGCTGCAGCCGTCGGCGGCCATGCGGCGCAGCGGGCCGCCGCCCGCTGCTGGCGTGCGGTTGGCGGTGGCGGCGGCGCTGCTAGTGTGGGAGGCGGCGGCGGAGATGTATTGCGGGCAGGCGAACTGTTACGAAATTTTGGGCGCGGAGCGCTCCGACGAGCCCTCGGCGATCAAGAAGGCGTACCGCAAGCTCTCGATGCAGTGGCACCCCGACAAGAATCCCGACCAGAAGGAGGAGGCGACCGCCAAGTTCCAGCAGATAGCGCAGGCTTACGAGGTGCTTTCGGACGAGAAGGTGCGCGATGCCTACAACTATTTCCTGGACCATCCAGAGGAGCATATGTACAACCAGATGCGGTACTACCAGGCGGTGTACCAGCCTAAGACACCCCTCTGGATGGTGCTCGTTGGCTTCCTTCTCGTGATCTCTGGCCTGCAGTACGTCAATTTCCAGGAGCAGAAGAAGACGTTCCTCGCGAGCCCGCAGCTGCAGGCTATCCTCGAGGAGGAGTACTTCAGAAACTGCACCCGCGGGCGGCACGGGTACCAGACGGGCGAATTGACAGTGGAGAAGAAGGCCGAGATCAGGGAGGACCTGATGCGCCGCCTCAGCGAGGACCCCGACTGCCCGCTCGGGCGCGCGAAGCTCTCCAATACGATCATACCCTACCTGGTGTACCAGCTCCCGCTCGCAGCTTTCGGGTGGGCGAGATGGCGGGCGGCGAATAACGATTCCATCCAGGAAGAGAAGAGAAGGCTGGCGGAGGAGGAGCGGCAGGCGGAGGAGGAGGCGAGAAGAGAAGCCGAGGAGACGCGGAAGCGCGACGAGGAGAAGGCCGCGCAGAAGGCCGAAAAGGCGGCCAGATTGGCCGAGAGAATGCGGCAGGAGGAAGAGAAGAAGCAGAAGTGGCTCGAGGAGGCGGCGGCCGAGGAGGAGGAGGAGGACGAGGACGCAGACAAGGAGCTCATCTTCACCGGCAAGGTGACGTCCGTGGACGAGATGAAGAAGAAGGGGCACCTGCTGATACAGGTGGCACACGGCAGCGAGGACACCGTCCAGGTGGTCGTGGTGGACAAGGCGGTGTCAGTCGGGCAGATGGCCACCGTGGCCCTGGAGGGCGCAACGCTGCCCAACGGGAAGCAGGCGAAGCGCGCCAAGGTCGGCGGCGAGTGGTCCGAGGGCACCCTGCTGGAGCTCGGCGCGGGCTCCGGCGCAGCTGCTCCGGCGGCTGTGGAGGCGGAGCCGATGGACGCAGACGACGCGGCCGCCGAGGAAGACGCGGCCGGCGCTGGCGCGAAGCCGCGGCGGCGAAAGAAGTAGGCTTCTCCTCCTCCTCCTCCTCCTCCTCCTTGTCCTCCTCCTCCTCCTCCTCCTCGCGCCCTTTCGCCATGTGGGAAGCGGGTCCCGAGGTAAGCAGGTCCTGAGGTGCTTCACCGTTTTCGAGCTCTCGGGACCCTCCACGGGCCCCAGGGCCGTCAGAAAACGATTCGGGAGGAAGATCTCGTCCTGGGGTGGAAGGCCCCAAGGCCCAGGACCCGTTTCCCTCAGGACGCGTTTCCCCAATGCTCTAAGCCTGTGCCGCCGATGCCCGCAGAAGCGCGCGGGGCAACAAGCTGTGCGCGTGCTGTCCCGCCCGACCGCCCTTGTAGCACTCCAGCCTCATTTTCCGTTGCCGTGCGGGCCTGCTCAGGGATTGGTCGGGTCACCTCTGTGACGATAGATGGACCATTTTTCACAGGGGGGATGCGGTGAGAAAATCAAGATCGCAAGTTCCTTTGACCTTTGAAATGGCAAATGCAATGCGCAGGAACGGAGAGGACGAAAAGCCCAGAAGAACATAATCATGAACAACCGGGCAAGCCCATTGGGGAACGAGAGATGCAGAAGTAAGGGACGATAGTGCCATATACGCGGATGTATAAGGAGCTACGAGGGCAGATCTGATCAGGAAATTCTAGACGCTTCGCGTATCCCCACAAGCCCATCCAGAAACAATGCCCAGGAAAGTTGACAGAAGATGGGAAGAAGAGACTCACTTAGTGAACCGGAACGGGCAACCACGGTGAATTGGGAGATTTTTTGTGGCGAAGGTTGCAAGTATTATTGTTGGTGCTCTTGCTCCTGCTGGTACTGCTGCTGCTGCTGCTGTTGCTGTTGCTAGTGCTGCTGCTGGTGTTGCTGATGGTGCTGGTTCTCGGATGATGAGTAGACGGATAAGGGGGAGGAGGAGGAGGAGGAGGAGGAGGAGGAGAAGAAGAAGAAGGACAAGGAGAAGGAGGAGGAAACAGGGCGGACATATGATCCTCTTAGGATGTCTCTTGGGGGTTGTTTTGGAAACCTCTTGGAGCGTCTGGGGGGGATCTTGGGGGCTTCGGGGATCCTCGTGAAGCCTCTTCGGGTCTCTTGGAGGTCTCTTGAATGCCTCTCGGAGCCCCTTGGGATATCTCGTGGTCGGTTGTTTTGAAGCCTCTTGGAACGTCTCGGGGGTCTCTTGGCGGTCCTGAGGACTTTGGGGCGTCTTGGGTGCCTCGGGGAGGCCGCTTGGGGTCCTCTTAGGGGTCTTTCGGGTGTCTCTTGGGGCCATTTTAAGGTTATCTTGAGGCCATCCTGAAACCTCTTGAAGCCTCCTGAGCACCTCTTAAGCCCGTCTGGTCTCCTTTAAAGGCCTTGTCGGGGCGTTCTTGGAAGCTTTAGGGGCTCTCTTGGGACCATCTTGGATGATGTCGGTCAACGAAGGGGGGTCCTTAATTACCCCCCCCCCAGGAAGCCAAAATGCGGCCAAAACCATAGTAAAACCAATGATTTGTCATTCCTCGCCGAGGCCGTTTTGGACGCTCCGACACCTCGCGGAACCCTTTGTCCAGGTCCATGGGGAGGGGGCAGGTGGAGGGGTAAACCCCTCCCCGAAGGGGAAGAAGGAGGGGTGGAAGAGGAAACTCCCTAGACCACCGACGCCCAGAGGGCTGGTGGGATTCTGGAGGAAGCCATGGCACGGGAGAAGGACGGAACGTCCCCCCTGTTGCCACGAGCCGGTGGGATGAGACCGAAGTCGGGGCTCCGCAGAGCGGGGCCGAGGAGGCGATGCGCGGGAGGTGGCGGCCCGCGAGGGCGCTGCGAAGCAAGCGTTGGGGGTCGGCCTTCGAGGAGCTACAGAAGCCATTCCAGAAGATCAGCCAGCATTCTGGCACGAGTCTCTCGCGCAGGCGCGGTGGCGGGTGTAGCTCTCAGTCGTGGCTTCAGAGGGCCACAATGTGTGGCAACTGTCTTCCCTGGACTCGATAGGACGGCAGCATGCGATAGTTGTCCCCTCGGGGCCAAGAGGACTGCAACATGTGCAATAGAACTGTGCTGCATTGTTTTTTCTCTCTCTCTCTCTCTCCTCTCTCACTCTCTGTCTTTTTCTCTCTCGCTCTCTCTCTCTCTCTCTCTCTTTCTCTCTCTATCTCTCTCTCTCTCTCTCTCTCTCTCTCTCTTTCTATCTCTGCATGATATGTATATATACGAATATGAAGATCACCACGGTAATAATGAATTGTAATGATCGCTAATAATAACGATACTGATAATAACAGTAACAACAACCTCATCAATAGCAATAATAAGAGTAGTATGAAAAATAATGATGATAACAGTACGAATTGCAACAATGGTAACAATAGTAGATATAGTAGTAACACTAGTAGTAGCAGCAATAGCATGCACAATAACAATAGTAACAGTGGGAATAATGACAGTAAAGCTGATACTAGTAATACGACTAGTACCCATACGAATAGCACCAATACCAATAACAGCAACACGAATAATCATGCTAATACCCATACGAATAATAAAAACCAACAATGATAACAGCAACAATACGACAAGCAAAAACAGCCATATGACTATTGATATCAATACTATAAGTAATATAAACAATAGTAATAATACTAGCGATATGACTGGCATTGTTACTGGCAATAAAAGAGAATGTCAGTAATATTAATGTTAGCCTGACGAAGGGCCCAACCATCTGCAGCTGTGAGTGCCGCATTGTGGGTACCGCTTTCGGGCCACGAAGCGTGTGAGGGATTTGCCGAATTGGGCGCGGTGGTGCCATGCGAACCCTCCCACTGGAATCGTCGGTGGAGCTCCCTATTGGGCCACGAACCCTGCGAGGGGTGTGCCGAATTGGGCGCGGTGGTGCCATGCGAACCCTCCCACTGGAGGCTTCGGTGGAGCTCCCTACGGGGCCACGAAACGTGTGAAGGGATGTGCCGAAGTGGAAGCCGTGGTACCATGCGAACCCTCCCACTGGAACCTTCAGCGTAGCCCCCAATGGGGCCACGAAGCGTGTGAGAGGTGTGCCGACTTGGACGCGGTGGTCTCATGCGAACCCTCCCATTGGAGCTTTCGGCGGAGCTCAAAATGGGGCCACGAGCCGTGTGAGGGGTGCGGTGGCGCTCCTTATTGGGTGCGGTGGTGCCGTGCGAACCTTGCCATTAGAGCCTTCCGTGGACCTCCCTATGGGGCCACGAACCGTCTGAGGGGTATGCCGAATTGGTTGCGGTGGTGTCATGCGAACCCTCCCACTGGAGCCTTCGGTGGAGCTCCCTATGGGGCCACGAACCCTGCGAGGGGTGTGCCGAATTGGGCGCGATGGTGCCATGCGAACCCTCCCACTCGAGCCTTCGGTGGAGCTCCCTATGAGGCCACCAAACGTGTGAGGGGTGTGCCGACATAGGGGGCATGCGGAGGTTAGAGGCACGGATGGAAGGAGGAGGAGGAGGAGCAAGAGGAGGAGAAGGAGGAGGAGGAGGAGGAGGAGAGGAGGAGAGGAGAGGAGGAAGGAGACGCGGGCCGCTGTCTCTTCAAAACGAGGGCCCAACACCACAGGATGGTCGGGAAAAATGAAAATGATGCTAGTAATCATCAGCATCATCATCATCAGCAGCAGCATCATCAGCATCATCAGCATCATCAGCATCAGCATTAGTATCATCAGCATCAACATCAGCATCATCATCATCATCATCATCATCATCATCATCATCATCATCATCATCATCAGCGTCCTCATCATCATCATCATCATCATCATCATCATCATCATCATCGTCATCATCATCGTCATGATCATCCTCATCATCAGCATCATCATCATCATCATCATCATCATCATCATCATCATCATCATCACATGTCGGAGTGTTGGGCCCCCCAGCCTCCCCTGGCCTCCCCCAGCACACAATGACAAATGAGGCCCCCTTTGAGTACCGAATGTAGCCCCGAAGGCCAGGGGCCCGTTTTCGACCTCTTGGAGGGATCTTGTAACCCCGAAAGCACTCTAAGGGCACCCACGAAGGCCTCCAGGCGTCCCGAGAGGCCTCGAAGGCGACCGAAGACCGCCCCAAGAGCGCTCCAAGACCGCTCAGGATGGCTTCAAGATGGCCCAGGGGCCCCCCAGGAGGTCCAAGAGTGCCCCACGAGTGCCCTCAAGAGGGCTGCAAGAACCCAAATCGTTCAATTTCCTTCCTGGACAACAAAAAAACTTGCAATTGTAGCACGTTCGCTTTTTCGTATTGACAGCGCCAAGCACGGCCCAGGGGGCGCCCAAGACCGCCCCAAGACGGCCAGCGATGCCCCCAAAGAGGCCCCAAGACGGCTCAAGAGAGACCCAAGACGGCCCAAAAGGCGCACCAAATGGCCAACGAGGAGGAGCTCGAACTCGAATTTCGAGCCCCCCGCCCCAAGAAGCCAAAAAGAGGTCCCCAGCCGGTCTCCAGGAGGTCCCGACAGGTTTCCGAGAGGCTCCCGAGAGGTCCCCCAAGAGACCCCAACAAGCCTCTCAGAGGCCCCGCGTCAACTGCCTAAACGATGTTCCCGTTAGAGGTTCCCGGGGATATCGAATCGGGCCTCGAGGCCGCTCTCGAGACGCCAGTAGGCGTCACAGAGGTCCCCAAAGGGCTGCCAGTAGGCTCCTGAGGCTTCCCGAGTGCTCCCCAGAAGCCTCTCAGAGGCCACGCGTCTACACCCTAAAGAACGTTCCCACGGAGGCTTCCGGGGACATGGTTTCCGAACTAGAGGCCCCCCTCGAGATCCCGATAAGCGCCACGGGTGCCTCACGTACACGTCCTACACGATATCTCTGGAGAGGTGCCCGGGAATGTCGATTCGGACTCGGGCCTATCACAATCTGCCGTGGGATACGACACCAGGGGTCGGACACCTTATTCGCCGCCGACGTTCCCAAGTACCGCTTGCTTTGCCTGCTGCGATTCGCCGTCGCTGGCGGTTGGTGCCCTCGGGTTAGTGCCCTCGGAAGGGGGAGGGGGAAAGAAATACGAGGAGCGGGCGAGGAGAACGAGGAGGAGGAGGAGAAGGAGGAGGATTCGCATCAGGAAGGGGAAGAGACATTCGTATGGGGACAGGGGTGCCGAGCATTATGCGTAAGAAGGGAGGGGCGGGAAAGACGCAAAGGACGAATGACAGGGGGAGGATGACGAGGAGGAGCAAGAGGGGAGGGAGGAGGGAGGAGGTGGCAGCGGGCGAGCCCGGGGGGCGTGCAAAGTTGAAGCCTTGCTGTCCCGAACCCCCCCCCGCCCGCGTGACGCGGTCCAGGGGGGGGAGGGGGGGGGGAGGGGCGGAAGGCGCTCAAGGTCGAAGCCGTGGTGTCCCGAGGGGCCCCCGCAGCCGCCAGACGCGGTCAAGGTGAGGTGTTTGGGGGGCGCTCTCAAGGTTGAAGTCGTGGTGTCCCGAGGCGCCCCCGCGGCCGCCAGACGTGGTCAAGGTGAGGTGC